GTTCCATGTTCTAACAACTTAGGCCATTGTTACAACAGCGTATCTGCTTCCTGAATATTTGACCAATAATGATTACCCCTATGTAGGACAGACGGGGAGGTAGCCAACCGGCAGATTGGAAGAGCACAAGTGAGCGGTCAAAACCCCAAACTCACTGGTAGCTTCACACTGCAATGAACGACGCACATTCAGTTTCGCAGCTAATAAGATTGTTGGCTGAGCAGGGACAAAAACAGCCAGGGAAACGACTGAAGCTGTGAAACAGACTCCTTTCAGCTGATTTACCATCAGTTTATCAAGTACTTAGGAGGTGAGGGCTGAGCAGCACAAGCAAACGATAGCTAGTGACTTAAAAGCCAGCCATCAATATCCCCAATCAACATCTAAAAAGCCACATACAACAAGTGCCCTATAAATACCACACACAGGACAGAACAGCACACGCTCAGCTAGAGAGAAGTTCCCTCAGGGTGGGCTCCAACACGATTCCTAAAGCTTGGAAGACAAAATCCCCCACTTCCGTGACCGATCCAGATTGGATCCTGCAATATTATCCTAGCACACCTATATTCTCCTTCATTCGTTAACACTCTACACGCTTAAGATGGACTGATATGTCATGTGGTCCTTGACGTACAATCATTCGTTTAGAGACTGTTTGAAGTTACAACAGCCCTGAAAATTTCGGGCTCAGTTGAGACCAAAATTTATGTTGCTAACGGAGACAGTTGTTAAGTGGGTTTTCTCCCATTTTACAACCTTTCTTGTCACAGTTGCGAAGTGAATCACTGCAATTGTTAAGTTTGTAACACGGTTACACTGGCTTCCCTACTTGACTCCTTGTCAGAAGGTCGCAAAAGAGGATCACCATGACCCTGGGGCACTGCAACCGTCGTAAATATGAGTCAGTTGCCAAGCTGACTGAATTTTGACCACATAATCACCGGGAGACTGCAAAGGTCATAAGTCATTTTTTTTCCAGTGCCGTTATAACTTTGAACGGTCACTAAACAAACTGTTGTGAGTTGAGGACTAGCTGTATTTGATTAGACAACTGCAGTATGCACCTTCTAGAAATCTGTTAATATTTTTTTACGGGTGATGCTAAAAATGCCACCTTATCCTTTGAGACCGCAGCCTTCAGTCCTTTACGGAGAGCTAAATGGCACTGGATTTAACAGGGCTGATTTCTAATTCGAAATGTAGAAGATTAAAGCGGGAGTTGTTTTATACAGTCTCACTTTGTTTTACATAGGCCTTCCCTGTAGGAGAAAACAAAATTATTGCCTGGCAAAGTCCAATTCATTGAGACAAAAATGTTGTAAAACACAGACACCTGTGCCACAGCATACCTCATTCCCATTTTATACCGGTAATAAATGTAGATTTTCAGTTCTTGAAATAAAATGCCTGCGGAAGGCTGCACACTACCTAACATTGTATTTTATGAAACCCTAAAGCTGTTCCTTGTTAATTACACACAGATCAATGTCTCTCGCACAATTTCTACACCAGAACTGTCTAATTATTTCTCCGCATTAACCTTTCAAAAGCGGACTCTGAATCCTAAGTTAAGAACCGTTGCAAAATAGCATTGACAGATAGTCCCCGACTTATGACCACAGTTCAGCCCAAAATTTCTGTCATTAAGCAAAACATTGGTTATTAAGTGAGTTTGGCTCCATTTTACGACCTTTCTTGCCACACCGATTAAGTCAGTCCCTGACAGTTGTTAAGTTAGTCACACTGTTGTGAAGTGAATCTGGTTTTCTCATTGACTTTGCTTGTCGCAAAAGGGATCATGTGACCCTGGGACGCTGCGACCGTCATAAAAGTGAGTCAGTTGCCAAGCGTCCAAATTTCATTCAGGTGACCGTGGGCGTGCCGTAACGGTCGTAAGTGTGAGAAACGGTCATAAATCACCTTTTTCAGTGCCGTTGTAACTTTGAACGGTCAGTGAATGAATTGTTAAGCCGAGGACTACCCGTATAACAGGGCTGTGCCTTTTTGCGCTTATGAAAAGTAACACATTCCTAAAAAGGCAGAGGAAACAATGAGAGTGCATTGATTTTTCAGGACTGTCAGGTATATTTTGGCGTTATTGGAGGCGGGAGGCTAGAATACAATAGCTATTTCATAAAGTAAAATGAGGAGGTATCCTGTTACGGTAATATATTTGGCGTTAGACTCTAATATGATATTATTGTTCAAGACAGATGTAATATCTCCTTTGAGACTGGTGGATAATGGAGACAAAACAATTGTAGGGATTGCTAATTAGCCACAGAGGTAAAATAAAGAGACATCTGTTATTGGGGCGAACAACTATGAAAAGAAAAATCTAGAGCCAGGGATAGGCAACCTTGGCTCTTTTATGACTCGTGGACTTCAACTCCCAGAATTCCTGAGACAGCTATGCTGAGGGGAAAGGGAGAGGTTTCCAAGCTGAGCCATGCTGGCTCAGGAATTCTGGGAGTTGAAGTCCACGAGTCAGAAAGCGGCCTAGGCCTAGGCCAGACATAGGCAACCTTGGCTCTTTTATGATTCGTGGACTTCAACTCCCAGAATTCCTGAGCCAGCCATGCTGAGGGGAAGGGAGAGGTTTCCAAGCTGAGCCATGCTGGCTCGGGGATTCTGGGAGTTGAAGTCCACGAGTCAGAAAGCGGCCTAGGCCTAGGCCAGACATAGGCAACCTTGGCTCTTTTATGATTCGTGGACTTCAACTCCCAGAATTCCTGAGCCAGCCATGCTGAGGGGAAGGGAGAGGTTTCCAAGCTGAGCCATGCTGGCTCGGGGATTCTGGGAGTTGAAGTCCACGAGTCAGAAAGCGGCCTAGGCCTAGGCCAGACGTAGGCAACCTTGGCTCTTTTATGATTCGTGGACTTCAATTCCCAGAATTCCTGAGCCAGCCATGCTGAGGGGAAGGGGGGCGGTTTCCAAGCTGAGCCATGCTGGCTCGGGGATTCTGGGAGTTGAAGTCCACCAGTCATAAAAGAGCCAAGGTTGCCTACCCAGACAAAATATTAACATGGGGGGATATCCCGTTGACACAAAAGGATTGTGTTCCCCATTGTAACATATGGCTGTGAAATCTGGACCACTGAGAAAAAAAACAAGTGTTGCCGCTGAATTGTGGGGCTTTGAGAACATTATACAGGCGGTCCTCAGGTAGTCCTCGCAACTGAGTCCAAAATTTCTGTTGCTAAGCGAGACATTTTTAAAGCAAGTTTTGCCCCTTGCCACAGTTGTTAAGTGAATCACTGCAATTTGTTAACTTAGTCACACGGTTGTTAAGTGAAGCTGCCTTCCCCCTTGGCCTTGCTTGTCAGAAGGTCACAAAAGGGGATCATGTGACCCCGGGACACACTGTGACCGTCATAAATATGAGTCTGTTGCCGAGCGTCTTAATTTTGATCCTTTAGGGGATGCTGCAATGGTCGTTAAGTGTGAAAAAAACGATTGCAAGTCACTTTTTTCGGTGGTGTTGTAACTTCAAGCGGTCACTAAATGAACTATTGTAAGTTGAGGACTCCCTGTATTTTCTTTTCTTTTTTTCCCCCTTTTCCTTTGCGCTTTCAATTTTTAAAAAAAAAATTTGTAGTCGGTATTAGCTTTTACAGATATCACTGTAATGCTGAATTATTATTTAAAAAACAAAGAAAGATCAAGGCTAGAAAGCATTCTTTGGACAGCAAGAAAAGCCAACCAGCCAATATTAAATAAAGTACAACGAGGTTGCTCATTAGATGTCAGGTGGGAAAGACCAAATCTACATGGGAAGTGCCTGCTAGGAGTTAGATAAGGGTCAAAGGAATTCAAGGGCAGTTCGGCTTAGTCCGCTTGTGACTACGTAGGGATTCTAGGCTGATTCCTCTCTTGACTCCGCCCCCAGTTCTGCGACTCTTCCTACACTGGAAGCCCTAACCGAAATCTGAAATATTTTGACCGTGAAGTCAAGTGTCACTGAAGAAGACCCTGATGCTTGGAAAAGAAAAAAAAAAAACCCGAAGGCAATGGAAGAAGGAGCCAGATGGTGCAACCATCATAAATATGAATTGCCAAGCACCCAAATTTTGATCATCTGGCCACTGGGATGCTGCAATAGTCGTAAGTGTGAAAAACAGTTGCAAGTCACTTTTCTCAGTGCCATTGTAACTTCGGTCACTAAATGAACTGTGGTAAGTCGAGGACTGCCTGTATTTTCTTCTTTTCCCCTTTTTCCTTTGCACTTTCTAGTTTTTATTTTATTTTTTTGTAGTCGGGATTAGCTTTTACGTATATCACTGTAATGCTGAGTAAAATTATTGTTTAAAAAGCAGAGAAAGATGGAGGCACAAGGAGATGGAATCACAATCATAAAATGAACGAGCACTTTATCAATGCATCCTTCAAGATCCAGTTAGGCAAACTATAATATTTCCAATATATTTTCTTTGCCCCTTTTGGATAGCTGGCTAAATTTAATTTTCGCTGCAACGGAGATAAGCAGCGACCTGCCAGCAGAGGTGAAGAAACATTACACTGAGACATCCCATTAATCCCTTCGATGGCCATCGCAAAAAAAAAAAAAAAAAAAAATGAAACAAAGAGCGACTTCTTGGAAATTGAATTCCTGTTCTCCAGATGTCACAGATGTAATACCCCAATTACACAAACCACGGCTAAGTGAAGCATGCCAGCAAATATACAAAATAAACAGGTTAAGCACGAAGCTGCAAAGTGCAGACTCAGCTGTTGGTTTTCTGGGTGAGTGATAATTAGTGCCGTGCGCAATAAACATTTACATCTCACATCAAAATGACTTTTTTAAAAGCAAGTGTTAATAAAAGATATGCCAGCAAGCTGCAAAAAATAAAAACAAAAAACAAACAAACCACCAAGCCTTTGGAAAGCGCTGGCTATCAAATGCTTCTGGTTGTGTAGCCTGTCATTGTCACACACACACCCCATTCGCTCCACCCCGATGGAACATCTGGAAATTCAGGCCTCTGAAAACTTACCTAGATAAAGTGGTTGTGCTTCTTTGGAATTGCCGTTCACATCGTTACTGTAGTCGGCGATCTTGTAAACCTCCTGGTGATAATCTGGAATTTCAAAAAAAAAAAAAAAAAAAAAGACAAGAAAAAAGAAATAAGAAAAGTAACTCAGACCAAAGGGTGTGGGGGGAAAATGAACACTCGGTGCACGATTGGATGCAGTACGTGTCTCATAAGTTACAGATGCCTCTTCATTTTATTTTATTTATAATATTTTATTGGTTTTCCAGTTTTACATTTGAGTATTTAGAAAGCAACGTGGTGATTGGGTTAATCAATAGTTCAATAACAAAATCTTTAATACATATCTCAGGTTATATCATCAAATATTTCGTCTGCTTCCTTAACATTTACTATATCATGTTTAAGCTACTAAATTTCTAATTATATCAAACTCAGTGAAAACTTCATTCTCACATTTATCAATACATTTTTGCCTATACATATCTTAATAGATCTTCATAAACAATCCATATCCTGTTATTAAGTTTTACCTAATTTTTAATTTTTAATTGCAATACTCCAATTTGACCTTTAATCTCCATAGTGTGCAAATTGGTGGAGTCTGGAAAAACACACACGGAAGCACACGCCGAACCTTAAAAATAAAAACACAGGTGGTCCTCGACTTACAACAATTCGCTTAGTGACCGTTCAAAATTACAAGGGCACTGAACCTATGACCCTTTTTCACACTTATGACCGCTGCAGTATCCTCACAGTTACGTAACCAAAATTCAGACATTCAGCAACAGTTTCGTATTTATGACAGTCGCAGTCATGTGATCCCCTTTTTGCGACCTCCTGACGAGCAAAGATTCACCCAACAACCGGGTTACTAACTTATCAACTGCAACGATTCACTTAACAACGGTGACAAGAAAGGTTGCAAAATGGGGCAAAACTCACTTAAGAAATGTCTCGCTTAGCAAGAGAAATGTTGGGCTCAATTGTGGTCATAAGTTGAGGATTACCTATAGTAGTAGTAATAATAATAATAATAATGATGATGATGATGATGTTGGAAGAGATCTTGGAGGTTATCTAGTCCAACCCCCTGCTCAGGCAGGAAACCCTATACCATTTCAGAAAAATGGCTGTCCAATCTCTTAAAAACTTCCAGTGTTGGAGCATTCACCGCTTCTGGAGGCAGGTTGTTCCACTGGTTAATTGTTCTGTCAGGCAATTTCTCCTTAGTTCTAGGTTGCTTCTGTCTTTGGTGAGTTTCCATCCGTTGCTTCTTGTCCTGCCTTCAGGCGCTTTGGAGAATAGCTTGACTCCCTCTTCTTTGTGGCAGCTCCTGAGAGACTGGAACACTGCTATCATGTCCCCCCCCTCATCCTTCTCTTCGTTAGACTAGACATACCCAATTCCAGCAACTGTTCCTTATATATAGAATAACAAAATTGGAAGGGATCTTGGAGGTCTTCTAGTACAACCCCCTGCTCAAGCAGGAGGACCTATACCAGGGGTAGGCTCTCTTGGCTCTCTTTTATGACTCGTGGACTTCAACTCCCAGAATTCCTGAGCCAGCATGGCTCAGCTTGGAAACTCTCCCTTTCCCCTCAGCTTGGCTGGCTCAGGAATTCTGGGAGTTGAAGTCCACGAGTCATAAAAGAGCCAAGGTTGCCTACCCCTGCCCAAATGCCTGAATTTTGATCACGTGACCATGAGGAAAAAATATTTAAATATTAAACCAGGGGTCTTCAAACTTGGCCCTTTTATGACTGGTGGACTTCAACTCCCAGAATTCCTGAGCCACCATGGCTCAGCTTGGAAACCTCTCCCTTTCCCCTCAGCTTGGCTGGCTTAGGAATTCTGGGAGTTGAAGTCCACAAGTCATAAAAGAGCCAAGGCTGCCTACCCCTGACTTATACCATTCCAGAGAAATGGCTGCACAATCTCTTCTTAAAAGCCTCCAGTGATGGAGCACCCACAACTTCTGAAGGCAAGCCATTCCATTGATTGATTGTTCTCGCTGATAGGAAATTTCTCCTTAGTTCTAGGTTGATTCGCTCCTTGATTAGTTTCCATCCGTTGCTTCTTGTCCTGCCCTCTGGTGCTTTGGAGAATAGGCAGACCCTCCCTTCTTCTTTGTGGCGGTCCCCCCAAATATTGGAAGGCTGCTATCAGATCACCTCTAGTCCTCCTTTGCTTTAGATTAGACTTACCCAATTCCTGTAACGGTTCTTCCTATGAAAAGTGCTTATAAACCGGCAGAGATCTGCAACCCTCCTTTCGCAATAACATTAATGGGAAGCCCAAAGAATCACTTTTAATCTCTTCGCTTTTTTTTTTTTAATTTGGGAAGGTTGCCAAAGAACATTAATAGAGCCAGCTCATCAGTGGAAATTAACAGCAATTTCAAATAAAACTCAATACAGACGAGGAAAGTAAAGATTTCCTTTCCACTGAAGGAAAAGTACTCATCTTCCTGTTAATTAAATTGGATAATTAACAGTAACATGCAGGGGAGACAAAGGAGAATTATGACAAGCAAGCGCTAGGCAAACTCTATTTCTGAACTTCGTTTTCTAGCTGCAGGCTGCAGTGGTGACATTAAACTTTCAGTGTTTTCCAAAGATGTGGGGTCTGTTATAAATCGTATCCATTACATCTCCCGGAAGCCCAATCGCATTTGGAATTACAGATTAATATTTTAATACACAGACAGCAGTTCTCTTTGGATAAGTTATGTGGACAGCAGGTTGTAGAAGACGATTAAAACTCTCTATTTTCTGAGATTTTTTTCCCCACACCTGTGAAAATCCCTGTTTTTTTTTCAAGAACATGTGCTAAGCCAGGGATAGGCAACTTGGCTCTTTTATGACTCGTGGACTTCAACTCCCAGAATTCCCGAGCCAGCCAGGCTGAGGGGAAAGGGAGAGGTTTCCAAGCTGAGCCATGCTGGCTCAGGAATTCTGGGAGTTGAAGTCCACGAGTCATAAAAGAGCCAAGGTTGCCTACCCCTGGTCTAGGCCTAGGCCGCTTTCCGACTCGTGAACTTCAACTCCCAGAATTCCCGAGCCAGCATGGCTCAGCTTGGAAACCTCTCCCTTTCCCCTCAGCCTGGCTGGCTTGGGAATTCTGGGAGTTGAAGTCCATAAGTCATAAAAGAGCCAAGGTTGCCTACCCCTGTGCTAGAATCTATCTTAGAGAATATTGGCAATCCCCAATGTGAGGAATATTATTTTAGAATATGAGTGAAGCTAAGTGACACGTAAGCTATAGGATTTCCACACCCTGAGCTATAGGATTTCCACACGTAAGCTATAGGATTTCCTGGTTTGTGTTAAAGTACATATAAGGGAACAGGTGAAGCAAAAGACGACGTTGAGAAGGGGCAGGGATAATGTATTTTGTTTAGGCGATCCTGATAAGATTGTAACCTCCTAAAGCCCAGTCAATGGGGCCACAGGGGAGGAACCAAGGCGACGAGATAGAATGTATAAAATGTCTGTTTTTACTATGAAAAGGTGTGGCTCAAATATTGATTTGAAGTCCACCATGCTTTGCAAACCGTTGTATCCAATAAATCTCTGCTTAGTTTCAACTTGCTGTATGGTATTATTTAGCAGGTTAGAATTTCTACCAACACCAACTTCCAACTGTTCATTTTGTGACCGTTCAAAGTTACGGCAGTGAAAAAAGGGACTTATGACCCGTTTTCCCACTTACGACTGTTGTAGCAGTTTTATGGTCACGTGATCAAAATGGTCACATGATCAAAAATTATGGTCACGGGATCACATGATCAAGAACTCGGCAACTGACTCATATTTATGACGATTGCGGGTGTCCCGGGGTCACATGATCCCCTTTTACGGCCTTCTGACAAGCAAAGTCAACAGGGGAAGCCAGACTCACTTTACAACCGGTCACTAACTTACCAAACACCGTGATTCACTTAACAACCGTGGCAAGAAGCATTGTAAAATGGGGCAAAACTCACTTAACAAAATGTCTCGCTCAGCCATAGAAAATTGGGCTCAATTGTGGTCGTAAGTCAAGGACTCCCTATATTTTCATCCCCTTTCGACAACAAGTCTGAATTTTTTTTTTACTGGAATTGGAATTCTCCGCCCGTTTCAAACGTAAATTTTTTCAATCTCCATCAAGCAATTTTGTTCCATCCGACCTCTTTAAGGAAGAAAACAAACAACATTCTTCAAATGTTCGGGAACTACAAATGGTCCTTGACCTATAATCACAACTGGGGCAGGAATTTCCGTTGCTAAGCAAGGCAGTTGTTAAATGAGTTAAATATGACCCTGGCCATGGTCATCAAGTGAATCCACACAGTTGTTAAATGAAGCAGATGGTTAGAAAGCAAATCTTTCTCTCTTTTTTTCTCCATATATATTTTATTGCTTTTTAAAACATAAATCCCTTAATAGTTGGTAAACTGTGTGTTTGCTGGGTTTACATTTGTAAAGAAAAATCATTAACAATTGGTTGCTATAATCCATAATCCACATAGTACATTTAGTTGATTTCCTCTTTTCCCCAGAATGTCTTCTTTGTCAACCTTTGAAATAATACAGTTCTCATTATTTTGATAAATAACAGTTACATATATGTTTTCCCCCCCAACATTCCTAGAAATAATGATCACATCAATATAAAAATTTCTTTTCTATCTAATCATTCTGGCTGCCTCATCTTGTATCCTATTGCAGTCCTTATTTAGATTTGTTTCTCCCATAAAGTTCAAAGTATTCTTGCTGGTTAAGATTTTCTCAACAGATAATTACATTTAAAGATTTAAATCCATCTTTCCCATATAAACCATCTCCACACTTTTACATTTCTTAAAGAATAGGTAAAAACAGTAAAGAAAAGGAAAAAAGAGCAAGAGTAAAGAAATATCTTTCTTTCCACCACTGACTTTGGATGTCAAAAGGATGCCAATAGTATCCCATCTTGACAGAAGATAAAAGCTTAACATGTCTGAAGAATGCTTCTTCCAGGCTCTAAAAATAAAATGTAGTTCATCCAGAAAGCCAGCTGGTCTTTAGGAGACACTATCAACCAGTGTTTCCCAAACT